AACACACACACACACACACACACACCACACACACACACAACACACACACTTACACACACACACACACACTTACACAACACACACACACACACACCACACACACACACACACACACACACACACACACACACACACACACACACACACACACACACACACACACACACACACACACACACACACACACACACACACCACACACACCACACACCACACACACACACACACAACATCCCCCCCCCCCCACACACACCACCACACACACATATCCCACACACACACATCTCCACCCCCCCCCCACACACAACATATCCACACACCAACACACACATCCACACACACACACATATCCACACACACACACACATATCCACACACACACAACATATCCATACGCACACACCACACAACAACACACATACACAACACATACACACATACACACATACACACACACACACACACACACACACATACACACATACACACCATACACATACACATACACACACCATCCATACACACATACACATACACACACATACACACATACACACATACACACACATCCATACACACACACACAGTCATACACACACAATCACACACACACAGTCATACACACACAATTACAACACACACACACAACATCACACACACACACACACACACACACACACAATCACACACACACACACACACACACACACACACACACACACACACACACACACACCACACACACACACACACACATACACACACACCACACACAGTCACACACACACCACAACACACACACGCACCACACCACACACACCACAACACACACACACACACACACACACACACACACACACACACACACACACACACACACACACACACACACACAGTCACACACACACACAGTCACACACACACACACAGTCACACACACACACACACACACACACACACACACACACACACACACACACACACACACACACACACACACAGTCACACACACACACACACACATCACACACACACACACACACACACACACACACCACACACACACACACACACACACACACACACACACAGTCACACACACACACACACACAGTCACACACACACACACACACACCACACACACACACACACACACACCACACACACACCACACACACACACACACACACACACACACACACACACACACACACACACACACACACACACACACACACCACACACACACACACACACACACACACACACACACAACACACACACATACACACACACACACACACACACACACACACACACACACCACACACACACACACAACACACACACACACACACACACACACACACACACACACACACACACACACACACACACATACATATATATATATATATATATATATATATATATATCACTCACCCTCCTCCTTCTCCCCACCTCCCCCTCCCTCTCTCTCTCTCTCCTCTCTCCTCTCTCCCCTCTCCCCCTCCCCTTCCTTCTTCCCTTGTTTCTTCTTTCTTTCAGTCCTCTCTTTCTTCTCCACCTTCCCTATTGCTTGTGTATAAGTGGAACGAGCTAGGATGCATGTATTAGGCAAGTGAGCAAAATTAGGACTGACATATAAACTCCCATGACAGCTGGCTGGCGTAGGGAGGTGCGGTTACATCAACGCCTTCCAGGCCATTTACCTAATCCAAACAATATCCTTAACAATCCCATATATGTTGTGCACACATTTTGTTATAAGATGTCATCTATTTTCTCCCACGTCTCCCTTTTTTTTTTTTCTTTTTCTTTTTTTTTTCTTTTTTGTTTTCCTTTTTTTCCATTTTTTTTTTTTTTTTTTTTTGTGGGTAAAGGATTATCATTCCAAAGTGATGATAACTTAAATGGATAATTGCATAAGTTAATTGGAGGCAGGCATTTGATAGACCCAGAGGTCACTTGCCTCTGAGTAATTGAATAAGTGTCTTCGTGTTTGTTGTGCGTTTATATTGAGTTGGGAAGCTGTTGCCGCAGAGTGAAAGCAGAAAGACCTGAGAGAAGTTTTCCCCCTCTAGCAAGTGTATTAAACAGTCTAGCTAATTGAATAGGTATGAGTGTATTCCTTTTTCTCTGTATCTTACCTAGTTATAGTGACATTCATATGAATAAAGTTTACTTGCATATTGAGTAAACTACACATAGTTTGATTCTGATTATTATAGGTAATGACTTACAACGTTTGATGGTATTTGTATTATTCACCGGTAGGTAATCATTCGTGTTACTTGTTTAATGAAAAATGGTTAATTAAACAGAGATTAAAATATTGACAGTATCTGAATGAAGGCCCAGCCATTTGTTATTCCCTTTTGTCTGAAAAAATCAATGGTCTTTCCCAGGGTTTGCATATCTGTGTGGATGGGAACCACACAAAGTTGGTCATATTTTCCCTTTTTATTTGCATTTTCTAAGTGTGGTCTTTCTTTCCAG